TCAATGGCGGGCAACGAACTCACAGACAACGAGATCAAAATATTATAGGAACAAAAAAAAAACTTTGAGAGAAACTAGCGATGAGGATGCATGTGCAGCAGTGCTGAAGCTGTACAGGCACCAGCGATGAATATATGCGCATGTTCTCAGGCACACTCACACGTGAATGACTTACCGACTCCTGCCCATGGGTAACATAGACACTGATTAGTATAGGAGAATATAACTATAACCGTTAAATGATTTATTAAAAACCCACGAGGATTAGGAATAGGAATAAAGTATAAATAAGATAAGAATAGGGATTTGGGTTTAGAAGCGAATTTTGAATTAAGGGGTGTGGACCTCGAGCCGTCTAGCGCGCATGCGCGAGACCGGGGAAGTATTTAAGGGGCGAGCGGGCCACCGCGAGTTCAGTTCCGTGTCGGCGTTAGAGGCGGTTAGAGCTACTGGGCGGCGAGAGCCAGACGTATTTGTGAATAACAGCCCCGCGGGTGCGAGAGATAGTGTGCAAGTTAACCACGACGAATCAAGACGGACATCTAGTATCATCTGCCAACGCTACAACGCGAGCCTGGTTATACGCGCTCAGAGTGAGTTCCATCGAAGCAAAGTCTACGAGTGTCAAGAAGCCACCCTCCGCGTGAGACCGCAACGCCGAAGAAAACCAACGCCAAATCCAAGTATTGCCGGAGTGAGCAACCCTCCGCGTTAGACCGCAACGCCAAAGAAAACCAACGCCAAATCCAAGTATTGCCGGAGTGAGCAACCCTCCGCGTTAGACCGCAACGCCGAAGGAAACCAACGCCAAATCCAAGTATTGCCGGATTACGACGGATTAACCCCGGGGAAGTCTGCCACTGCCGCCGCTCGTCTTCATTCCAGCCAGTGATGTACCCCTTTTCGAGATCGGTGAAATAAGATCCCCATTTTTAGCCTCTTTATTTGTACGATTGTGAAGATTAAATTATTAGCGGGCATTGTAGCCTTCGTTGGGAATTGCAAATACGGGTAGGCTAGACCTAGGAATTTGTTGCCAATTTTTGACGTGCCCAGCTCTGTATTAGGGTGGAATTTGCTGTCTTTAAGTATATAAGAGTTGACATGCTTATTTGTATCTTCTCCCTTGTCAAGTCGTAGCTGCCAGCGTGAGAACTTTTCCACTGTGCCGGCCCTCGTGCTGAAACCTGACAGTAACATAGTTAAAACCTGAACTAAAAATTCCAAGGAGAGAAAAGTTAAATGATTGACGTCATAATTAAAAATGGACGAATTTGTAAAATCGTAAATAATTTACATCAAGATACAACGCATAAATTAAACTAAAATAGGAAGGAAGTAGACATCCATCATCATCTCTGTTTGAATAAAGTTCGCCGAGGCGCACCAGTTCGCGGCGACCAAGAAATGGCGCCCAAAAACTGGACAAATTTAGACGAAGCTTTGCATACAAACTCCTGGAGACCAAATCGTGTATTTTTTTACGAGTTTATTAAGACTTCTTTCACAAGCTATAAGCTCTAGGAGCTACTGAATTAAAGAAGGTTTCATCCGAAAAGCAAGCTATTTACCTAGATTCTGGAACAGATCCAGATTTGTTCATAATACTCAAGTGTGAGTCCCGCGTCACGAAAGACTATTAATATGAATCAATAATGCATAAACCCGTACAGCCACATGAATGGAGTTAGAAATTACAGGCCTAAACGAGAGCGGCAGGCCTGCAGGAGTTCGCCTATAAAGTTCCATCAAAATATGTTCAGTTTGTAGTTACATTCCTGGTCCTGGACGAACAGCCGGGCTCGCCTCCAGAATAAAACTATCAAACTTATTGACATCTCAGAAAAACTCTTGAAATGAAATATTTGCATATTAAGATGTCATTATGCACAGGTTACCAGTAAATTAGAGGATAAACTTGGAAAAATTTAGTGTTGTCACATTTACGAGCGGTGGTGAGGTGATACGAGTGGTGGTGAGGTGATACGAGCGGTGGTGAGGTGATACGAGTGGTGGTGAGGTGATACGAG